GTAAAATATTCTACCATGCGAGCAAACGTTGGTGATATTTTCAGACTTTGACAATGATGGAAGTAACGTCAGTATCACCAGCATTTTGAGATCACCAGATATGACTGGTTTTATGAATGAACGCATCAACATAGATGACCCTGATGGCTTGCTGGACATGTCCAGATTGGATATAGATTCCAAGAAACTACTTCCAAAAGAAGAAAAACGACGAGAAAAGAGGAGGAAGATGGATAAAAATGACACTATAACAGAATGAGATTAGAATTGGACAGAAAAATTGAAAAGAGATGTAAAGAAAAAGGCAAATAGCTCAAAGTATTTAAATTAAAAAAAATAGTATGGCTGTAACTTCTGATTTTTGAATTAATAATTCTAAATATTTGTTTTGTTAACCTTATTTCGCTGGATAGGTTCTCATTTCCCTGGCAGTTACAATAACAAATATATAAAATATAAGTTTTAATTTCAGGTTAATTTATGAAATTCATTTTAGCCCATTTACACGAGGCTATTTGTGAAGACATTCCATTAAGCCAATCCAATGACAAAGTTGAAGGCAATCCAATAAAAATTCAATTGAAATTTACACGTAGGCCAGTCCGCCATCCGGCGGGCTAGTATCTTTGTTTAATCCATGGTCTAGTATATACGGTTGTGTAGAATGGATAGGGCGAAAAGCTTTGAGCTAAATTGAAAAAAGTATTAATTTTAACACAACAGGAAATACTCAATATAATCAATTCAGAAGAATCAATTGTTGAAAGAAGGTGGTGGGTCAGACCATGGCTAGCCAGAAGATCCACAATGGGCCAATCAAGGCTTATCTTAAGAGAATTAGAAACAGAAGATCCTGAAGAATATAAATTGTGCATCTCGGCACTCCATTTAGACAAAACCATATTGAAAACTTTGCAAACTATACAAAAAAACCAAATCCAAGACACGTGCGCCCGGCAAAAACATAGGCGACTGGCTTACTGACTAGGTGGCTACGTGGCTGGGCTAGGCTTGGCTAGGAACGTACGTTCTCACAAATGCCATTACACAAGCCAATCCACTTCTTGAGTGGTGGGGGACGCTATTGGCTCCTAAAATTAGAAACCGTTCCAATTAGTGGAGTGGCTTGGGACAATGTTTGGAGACATTCCATTTACAGGACTGTCTCTATTTACACGATGCCAATGTTGGATTGGCTTAGTGGAATGTCTTCACAACTGGCCTTGTGTAAATGGGCCATTATGCTCAAAATATAATAGCTACTTTAAACACCAACTGGGGCTTCCGCATCATCTTCAGGACACCTAAGGAGGGAGCGTAGGGTAGAGCGCGTGACCTTTTATATACCAGATACCTACATATATTTAATTTCCACTTTCCTTTACATGTTGTCATTTCCCTGTTCATTGAAAATAGAAAAACAGCTATAAAATAAATATTTACCTTAGTTTTGTCTGGCCCGTTTGAGATTGGTTATGTTATTGTACATTCTTTACCCCTAATTACTTTTTGTCCCAATTATCGACAAAAAATGAGATTCACCTGTCGTATTTAATTTCACCGTGTGTAGAACTACCCATATGCCAATGAAATATATTAAAATCACTCAAAAACTACCTTTAATTCCTTTAATTCTTTAGGGCATAGACATAAAAGTAAATTGGTAATTGGTAAATGAGCAGTATTACAGATGTTTCATATATATTATTGAACATAAAATAAAATGATATAGGGAATAATAGATAATAAAACATGATTATAAATAGCTAATGAAATACTTTTATGAAAATAATTAAATCAAAGATCTTACTTTTGATTTTAAGTTATTACATTTATTTATTTAGTCTCCTCTGAATGCAGTAGACATAGATAAAATTGAGATAGTTCATTTCTTCAGTTCTTATAAAAGAAACGGATTTTATTATTTTGATGTCTCTAGTCTCTCACCAAGTTTTACTAACTGAATTTAATTTGAGAAGGTCAGAAAATAATAATTATTAATAATAATATTATCTGTGAAATTTCTTTATAAATAAATTCATAGCGATGTGGATTATATTTTCATGACAAACAGTTTGCATTTCATAATAAAATCCCACATTATTTTAGAAGAAATAATAATGTTCTAACTAACTACTCATCCCAAGTTAGCAAAAATGTCTCTTTTGTTTAGTACTGATACCAATAACTTACTCGTAGATAATGCAAATATTCTTGATAAATTTTCTACATTTTTCTACATTTTGGATATCTGAGTAATATTAATATTCACATTTATACAAGACTGGTTAAAGTCAATCGTTTTTTTTTTTAGGTTGAGTTTATAAATGTGCAATTTCCTCGTATTATTGTTATGATTGTATAATTTCTCTTTTACTGATTGTAGTTGTTAATTGGCCTGTGCTGTAAATTACGAATAAATAAAAAAGATAAGATGGTAAAAGAAACCCAATTTTTTCCAGAAATTAGAAATATTAACTTTAACTTTATATTCCGAAACACTTTCTCCCGTGAAATCAATAACAGCAATGCGGTTACTAATGTTACTATAATATACAAACTATTCTGACTACTGGATTGGCTGTAACAAAACGCTGAAAAATTATCTTGAAACATGGCGCGTTGGATTTTTATCAAGTTCAACATTAACCAGAGCACGCGCTGTTGCTATAGAAATTAGAAAACACGGCATAATGCGGTAGGAGTATGGCAGGAATGAGATGAGACGTAATGAGAAGCTGTCACCTGCAAAAACAGCTGTCAATCTTGTGGCGTCAGCGTCGTTTAGCGCACTAGCGTATTAGGAAAACAGTAGCTTGAGGAGGTAACATTGCAGGAACGTAGCACTGTACAGTCAGTCACCCGTACTTGTTTAGAGCGTATTGCCGGTTTTATGCAGAGATAGGAAATAGGAGTACATACATACCTACATGATATATTTTACTGTTTTACCTGGTTTATTAGTTATATGCAAACATTACGAATTGAAGACCATTTATAAAAATATTGTTAATACGTAAATTTTTCAGAGGAGGGCAAAAATTTATTTGCGTTATTTTTAAGTTCAACCATGAGATAAGTAACTTTTAAAATTCTTTTGAAAAATGTACGTCTGTATTTCATGCCAAATCACAGAGTTTTAAATTTCGTGATTTTTTGGTATTGCCTATTTAGTACCCATTTAGAGTAGCTTTAATGATTTTTTTCGAATTTTTATTTCTACCCCACAAGAAGTTATGAGCATGTAAATATTTTAGGAAAAAAAATTCAAATACCTGTAACTTGGCAAACACTAAAGATATAAACTTTTTTTTTTCATTTTGTTCGATTTAATTTGTGGTTTTATTAAAAAAAAAATACATTTTTAGTCATCGTTTTAAGGAAAAATTATTTGCAATCTTGAAATTTAGAATATAAGTTATTGTTAATATATGTTTATTGTTTATTTAGTACCCACCTACTTTAAATTTTCTATTCTATGACCTACCATACAGGCTGTTACAAATTCGCTTCTCACTACAGGGATCTCGTAAACGGTAACAGGTACGAAGTAGCTTAAATGGGGGCAAAGTTGACTAATCAGGGGACCAATATTATGCCTCTAAATAATCAAGGCTAACATGATTAGTTTTCGAAATATTTGAAAAAAACGAAATGTTGGAAATCCGTTTTTGTTTAAATTCAACCTTGTTTGATATTGAAAAAAGAAGAACACTTTCTCATGGCCACTTTTTCGAATGGCATAATCAATTTTTATATGTAACTTTTCGTATCTCCAGGACCATCATCAACTTCATTTTTTTAAATACGACCCTGGAAATTTTATTACATTTTTTGCAAGCCTTCATGACCCCCAATACTGTACTGCTTCAGCTCGAACCAGATTCAGACGTTTTGTCTCGAAAAATTCATCTTCAGTGTATTCGTTCCAAAATCTAAATTTTTTTATTTAGTTTTCTTTATTTATTGAATTATCATATATTGTAAGTGTCGTTAGACCCTGTGAAATCCATTTAGTTATTCAGACTATTACCACCACACATTAAAATAAAACATTATTAGAGTTTTATTCCCGTGTCCATAGTTACTTCTAGGCTTCTCGAGTGCTCAAAATTCAAACAAATTCCGATCTATTTTTTTCAGGATATTCATACAAATACATCCGACATGCTCTTTCACAGTTGCAGTTATAGATATAATAAATTCCGATAATATTATGCTGATCTTTATTTTTAACCTTTGCCAAAACGAAAATGTTTTTGAACATTTACTGAAATTTTTTAAAGAATAATATTCAGTTGGCGTTTTGGTTGTTCATATGCATTTTTAAAAATTAGTTTGTCATAATAAAATTAAAATTGTAACAATGTTTTAATTTTTACGCAACATCTTATTGATATGATGACCTTATGATGGCCAAGTGATGGTAATAGTTAATAATAATAAATATTCTATTGTAGCGCGTGATGGTTATAGTTTAAATAACTAGAAGGATTTCATAGGGTCTAACGACACTTACAGTGTACGTTAATTCAATAAACAACGAAATATAAATAAAAAATTAAGATAAATTTTGAACGAATACACTGAAGATGAATTTTTCGAGACAAAACGTCTGAATCTGATTAAGGCTGAGGCAGTACAGTATTGGGGCTCATGAAGGCTTGAAAAAAATGTAATAAAATTTCCAGGGTCGTATTTAAAAAAATGAAGTTGATGATGGTCCTGGCGAGACAAAACGTTACATATAAAAATTGATTATGCCATTCGATAGAGGGCAAAATGTGGCCATGAGAAAGTGTTCTTCGTTTTTCAATATCACCTCAAACAAGGCCGAAATTAAACCTTGAATTTTTAGAGGCATATTGTTGGTCCCCTGATTACGCAACTTTGCCCCCATTTTAAGCTACTTCGTAGCTCTTACCGTTTCCGAGATCTCTGTAGTGAGAAGCAAATTTGTAACAGCCTGTATACGTACTATATTTTTATATCATTTTTAGGCATGTGTCATACATGATCACACGCAGTCACTATTGGAAGATTTGACTCCAGATACTTCCAGCGTTTCGGAATCTTCCGAAGAAGAAGTTTACGAAGATGAATTGCTTTATGAAAAATTGAGACAGTTATTGTTCTTTGAAGAAGCTCCTGAATATATGAAACACAACGCATATATTTTGTCGGGTTATAGAGGAATTTTGAATACTCAGTTATGTGTAGAAAGGTCAGTTGGTTATTATTTCTTACAAGCATAAGCTGGATTGGTGCCCATTACCACATAATAAAATATGATTTTACTTTTATTTTAGATATTATTAATTACTGGTTTGTCTATGACATTATTTCTACAGTTCGTACAATATTTGTTGAGATAGAATTCCGAGAAAAGAAACTGTGAAACACGCCCTCGTAACTGCAGTACGCACTGCAAGCTGCTGCGGTGAACGCCACGCCTCCAATCTCTTTGTACCTCGTATGTTGAATGCGGTTAATTCCAAGAAGGGGGTCTTCTTGGGATTCTATCAACAAATATTGTACGGACTCTAGATACTTTTTATCAAAGAATATTTACGATTCCATTTTATAATTTGATTCAGCTTAATACCTTTCAAGTAAAAGCATAAGATCTAATAATAAAGAACATATACAGTATGTCCACAGAAAAGGTGTTGAATAGGGAAAACTTTTTTATTTTTCATTTTATCGAAAAAAGTTACCTACTCTTGATAAAAAATTTTGCTGGTTCTTAAAGTAAGATTGGAATAGAAAAATTTAACATTTCTTGTGTTGTGTTCAAAAAATTGAAAATCTTTAAATGGTACAAGAGTAAAGTGTACTTATTTGTGAAAATGTGGAAATAAGTAACTAGGAAAAGCTGTTCAAAAGTAATAATACCAAGAGTAATACCAATTTTTGAAAAAATCGACCTACTTTTATTTATTAATCATTAAATTTATTTTATACAAATTAAATTATTCCAAATTAACAATTTCACCTTGTTCTTGTAGGCGTTGATAGTGACAAGTTGATTTGACAATTTGCTCTTATAAATTATTAGCCATCGCCATTGTCAGTCTAAAATGCTTACTTTACAGCAAAAAATTTACTTAGTGCAATTTATGGCCAAGGCGAAAAATGTTATTGTCAAGTTAGTCAGGAATTTAATGAAAAATTCCCGAATGTGTATGTTCCGGAGGCTACTTGCCTTAAGAGTACTTTACTAAAGTAAATGTGTGGTGCGACATTTCTTATTATGGAATAATAGGGCCATACTTCTTTAACACTTCTTGTAATGCAGATAGTTACTTAGATATGTATTTTCTTGACGATGAATTAGAAAACCCCCGTTAGAATACCGTCGTTCATTTTATTTTCAACAAGATGGATGTCCAGCACATTATGCGGCAAGTGTAAGACAATGGTTAGACCATACATTTCCAGACCAGTGGATTGGGAGACTAAGACCAGTTCAGTGGCCTCCTAGGAGTCTAGATTTGGCAGTAATGGATTTTTTCCATGGGGTCGACTGAATCAAATTGTTTATCGCACCCCTCTAATATAAGATTCCAATATTGATCAATTAAAGAATGCGATTAGAGACGCCGTTGTTTCAATATTTTTAGATGAAGTTAGAAGAAGCTTTGCTGAATTACTTGTCCATTTAAAAACATGTGCTCAATATGTGCAGTGGCATGTGGCAGTGTGTTTGAGTAAATACTTTTAAAATCTGTGAATTGTTAATTTGGAATAATTTAATTTGTATAAAATAAATTTAATGATTACAAATGATTAAAAGTAGGCCGATTTTTTCGAAAATTAGTATTAGAGATTGCCTTTCACATTTGAACAACTTTTCCTAGCAACTTGTTTCCATATCTTCACAAATAAGTGTAATCTTGTACCATTTAAAGTTTTTTCAATGTTTGGACACTCCGTACAAGAAATGTTCAATTTTTCTATTACAGTCTTACTACAAGAACAGGCAAAAGCTTTTTTATCAAGAGTAACTTTTTTCGATAAAATTAAAAATAAGAAAGTTTTTCCTATTCAACACCTTTTCTGTGGACATACTGTATAATTAAAATGAAATAAAAGTTTGTAATATTTTTAATATAAAATAAAAAATATAAATATAAAATATAAAATAAATAATATGAAATGCTTAAACGGAGTTAGTTGTACAAATAATGTTCATAAGAAATGTACACATTATATGTGTAGTAGTTTTAATATTACATTTAACTAATTTTCTTCATTGTAAAATATGTTTTCACTCTTTTTTATCATATTAGGTCCAATACGACGTAAATACTTATTTAAATACATTTCTTTTTATGAAAAAGGAGAACACCAATCGAATCAATTCAGTAATTTATAGTAATAAAATAGAAAAAATATCTAAGACGGCAAAGTATCGTTGATGTATAATTAACTAAATCAACTTTTACTATTGGATTTAGGTACATTTAATCCCAAAAAATTGCTTAAGTATTCATTAATTCATTCAGAAATCAAGGTTAACTTTTAAACGATTAAAAATAATTTACAACCAAAAAGTAACAAACAAACAAAATTTTATAACGATATTACTTACGTTAACCGAATTCAAAAGGTAGTTAAAAAATTACTTCCTCATGAAAAATCACAATGGAATTGGTAATACCAATCCATTAGATATAAGATACTTTATTTTAAAAATTTATGAAACTTTCATTAGGGTCGTAACCAGGTTGAAATTTGAGGCAGGGCAAATGATCAGTTCTGTAATAATCTGAGAACTGAGGGATAAATAGTGTCTTAAGTAATTAAAATCTATTATCTAAGCAGGATAAATATTTTGTTCAGAAAGGGAAAACTTTTGTCAACCAGGGTAACTCTGCGTGGTTTCCCTTGGTTACGGTTCTATGTATTAAAATTACTTAAAACCTTTAAATATATTTTGTGTCAGTTTCAATTGGTTCATTATGACTATAGGGATTATAAAGCAGATCATAACATTTATTATAACTTATCTGCAATCTTAATAATCTTCGTATGACTTGATAAGCACTATAAATAAACGACATATTTGCAATCATTAAATCAAAGACTTGAAAGAATTGATTTTTTAGCCTGTTTTGGTGGACAAACGAGACAATCAACATATGGTCGCATATTTTTGGATTTGTTCTTTTTGTAACTTTAACGATATATGACGTCGTAATGGTAAAAAAAGTTCAAGCCCCATTTGGCGACAAATTAATTGTAGGATCAGTATTACTATGTTTTCAGGTTAGTATTTAATCTATATACCATATACCTATTACTACTATACTAATATTATGGCTTATTCAAATATTGATAAACACTTTATATTCGTTATTTGAATTTAATGCCTTTTTGAAATTTAAAAATATCCCATAATCTAGAAAGAATAAAGGTGACATTCAAACTTACGGAAAACAACTACGATGCCGACTAATACCCCGACAAGCATTAAATTATATGCAATCTAGAAAACAGTTATAGGATCAAATCAAGAATAATATGCTCATATACCACAATCTTAAACTAAATAAAAATTTTTCACTTTTCTTCAAGGAAAATATTGTACTTAGTTCAAGATTATGGTATATCAGTGCCAGGAGTATTTCTTTGCTTATATATAAACAATTGTTGTGCGATTGCTTTGAAATTTGGTATACAGGGTGTATTCGCGAAAAGAAACAATTATTATTGTATATAATATCATCAGTTTAAAAATTTAGTAAGCCAAAAATCTTGTTTTCATAGTACCTACGAAATAGCAGATTGCTCTCTGCCAGTTTGGATATTTGAAAACCTAGACATTGAATAGCAGTGACAATCAACGATGATGTAGCATTGTTACATCTCACTTACACTGTATAAATATGCAGTTTATTGTTTATTAATTTTGCTGTTTTGTAGAGCATTTTAATGTATACATATAAGTTTTGAAAACTCTGAAGTACCTACATATATTTAATAATGTATTAGAGACACATTTGCACATTTCTTATGCAGCGTGTAAGAAAACTAAACCGACAAATGAAGACAGCAAATTCTAGAAATGATTTAATACCGGTTTGACATAAATCGTCTTGTCCAAAAATACTCCCTAATGACCCTTTGACATTGTTTTTTTTTATTGTTCAGATCGCTGTTTATTTAGAAAGATCAAACTTAGGTGTTATGTGTTAACTTTTATACGGACAGCCTTTTGATGTAAAAATCTTTTAATTGTAACCACAGGCGTCACATTAGATATTTTTAATTAAATTTTTTTCTCTTCGACTTTTTGGTATTTTTAATATCAAAATCGAAAACTTCAGAGTATTCTAGATTAAAGAGGTACTCTTGTCTTGAGTGGCTAGGGTGTACTGTGCTAGAAAAATCTATTTGAAAATGTTTGTGTTTGTTTTGCACGATTATTACAAAATTACAAATTCCGTGCTAATATTTAGTAGTTGGCTTAGGAAGCATTTTTGAATAAGACGATTTATGTCAAATTGATATGAAATCATCGCTATAATTTGCTGTCTGCATTTGTCGGTTTAGTTTCCGGACACCCTGTATATGTCTCTATGCTAAGCTAACCAATTTATTAAGTAGTTCAAATGTTTACTAGATTATAATTCCTTGTTACACTTGATATTCCATGTTTTGCAGTGTAATAAGTAGGTATTCAAAAAAATGTCTACAACCTGTAGTACTTATCTAACTTTTTTCGTATCTTGAAAAAAAAAACATGAAAAAAAATGTCAAGTTGGTATTTTTTTAATATTTAATTAATTGTAAGAAATTTAACCCAATAAATTTTTAATACATTCTTATTAAGCTAAAGAAAACTGATAATATATTTTTATACATAGATATATAATTCAATACAAACTAAACATTTTTCGACCTCCTTCGACCTGATTAGTTCATTAAATTAAAATTGTTTTTATTTATTTGTTTTTTTTTTCAGGTGTGCATGGCTCTCTCTTCCTTGTATCACACTTTTTCCTGCAGATCTGAACAAGACTGTCATAAATTTTTATCATACGACTTATTTGGAATAGCACTCTCTCTCTTAGCTATTTATACTTCAGGAATATATTATGCGTTCTGGTGCGATGAGGTATTCTAATATAAAACTGTTATCTACGCATATGTAGTATACTATAAAACAAAACTGCTATGATATTTGATAGATTTGAATTTGTAATTGACTTATTTCATCAAGTCGTCTCTGGAATTAATACATAAGAGATTTGTCCATTTGGGCATTAAAAACACATGGTGACATCCCTATTATTTCTTATCTACCTACAATACTCTATTAATGTATTTCTTTAATTTTTAGCAATTACAGAATTTCTATTTGACAACAATTACAATTATTTTTGTAATTGCAATGATTCTGCAAGTACCCAAATTGAATATTCATTGCAACATTAAAATGCTGGTGTTTGTTGCTTGGGCATGCTATGGGGTCATTCCGACAATACACTGGACTATTGCCATGGGAGGGTTCGAAAATCCTGTTGTTGCTGTAAGTAATATATTTATTTTCATAAGAAAAGCCGCCTATACATAGATGGCATTTTAACGGCTTTAATAAACTTATTTTCAGAAACAAACAATTTAACATGGTATATCCAATTTCTACATCGCGGTGATCAGGAAGGGAGAAAAAGTTCGATGAAAATGTCCGCCAAAACGGCTAACGCAGAAAGTTTCTGTATCATCTGGACATTCAAAATTCGCAAAGCTCAAAAACCTATGAGATCCTTCTTGTGGATTATGGGCATTTGTATATACGTGTCCCAAAAGTATGGAAACAGCACAATAACTTTCGAAAAATGCATTTTGAGGTAAAATGATTCAGACAAAAGATTTAGGATTTTTCCCTGGCTATTCAATGGTGACCCTAGATTTGACCTTCAAAGTTATTTCAAGGTCAAGTTAATTTTTTCAAATAGGATGCCCTACTTTTGACCCCGGAAATGAAAAGAGCGGAAAATTTTACGTTTAGATATGTCCTTGTCCATTTTCCAATATGGCGGTTCCAAGATGGCGGACGCGATTTCAAAAATCAACCGATTTTTGCCAAAATTGATGCAGTGCGGTTTTTCAAGGTGAAGGTCACGGTCAAATCAAGGATCACCATCAGATAGCCAGGGAAAAATCTTACAACGTTTCAAGACAGCGCGCCAAACCATGCGTGACCTTGATTTGACGTTTAATGACCATCAGAGGTTAAATTCGGAAAATGGTCAAGGACATATCTGAACGTAAAATTTTCCGCTCTTTTCATTTCCGGGGCCAAAAGTAGAGCATCCCATATGAAAAAATTAACTTGACCTTGAAATAACCTTGAAGGTCAAGGTCAACGTCAAATCTAGCCATTGAATAGCCAGGGAAAAATCCTAAATCTTTTGTCTGAATCATTTTTCCTCAAAATGCATTTTTCGAAAGTTATTGTGATGTTTCCATACTTTTGGGACACGTTGTATATACAAATGCCCATAATTCGCAAGAAGGATATGATAGGATTTTGAGCTTTGCGAATTTTGAATGTCCAGATGATACAGAAACTTTCTGCGTTAGCCGTTTTGGCGGACATTTTCATCGAACTTTTTCTCCCTTCCTGATCACCGTGATGTAGAAATATAGAAACCGTGACATGGAATACCGATTTCTTTAAATTCATCAAAATAATTGAATTTATTCAACTATCCAAATATTTACACCTGTTATACAGGTTGTCTAATAAAAAACGCCGCAAGCCATAACTCCGTTATTTATAGTCTGATTTTAAAAAACAAAAAATTAAATGAAATGGCTCTAAATACACTATAGAGCAGGGGTCGGCAAGTAATTTAGGTGAAGTCCGGATACTTTTGAAAATTTTTAACGAGGTCCAGAAAAAAACTCATATTCCTTACTAATTTTTTGTTTTAATTTGCACTCAAAATAATATTAAATACAATATATAGACATATTTGTATTAAAAAATCAATGGGAGAAATTACATTTGCAGTCATGAGTCAGTTTTTTTTACTAACCTACTAACTATTAAAAAATGATAAGGGTGGCATTCAAACGTATTTTTATCTATAGAAAAATATGTTTTTAAATAATTCGAGTAATTAAACTTTCAAAAAATTTTTGGCGGTCCAGTTTCTAACCTTTCGCGGTCCGGATCTGGACCGCGGTCCGCCAGTTGCCGACCGCTGCTATAGAGGGAGCCTATTAGAGCTTATTTACTATTTTTTTTTTCTGAAAAGCGATAGTCAACTTTTTTTTTTCAAATGGCAATATAGTTTTTTTGTTACACAGCAATTAAAACTCAAAATTTTATAGTTAATAGAAAAGAATCAGTACAATGAATATCAATTAAAATAAAAACAATTTTATTAAATACATTAACTATTATACAAAATTCAACACGAAATAACATTAATTAAACTCAAAACACATTAAACGAAGAAAAACAAACACAAAACAACTAAAGAAACAAATTGTAGCCGTCGTTCTCTATCGTTTTCCTCTAATGCTTCTACTTTTTTAGGAATGTATGGCTTGAATTTGTGCTTTTTCAAATGTGCAGTTCTCTTTGATGCTCTAATATTACTAGAAATTTCCCGAATTGAAGTTCTTGGGTTTTCTTCAACGTTAAGAACATTGAGCTCGGATGTTTTCATTAAATTCTTCAAGGCTTACAAATCTACGTGGTTCTGGAACTTCTCTGTGAGGAAATAGTTCTCTGTAAAGGTGGACTCCTGCACCAAGATTTTTATTACACCGAAAGTATACCTGAATCATGTCCTTCCGATTATTTCTCATATTTTGCACTGTTGAGCTTATTTCAATAAATAAGCTACTGTAAATGACACAGAAAGATGAGTAAAAAACTGGAGCGGGAACGCTAAAGTGACATTTTTTACTTGCTTTTTTGTTTTCCAGACAAACATAATTAATCAAGAGTTTGTTGTCAATTAAGCGACCGGGCGCTAGTAATGTAATATTTGCAGGCTTTTTCTGTAATACATATTTCACAAAAGTAAACTTTATATACATCCTTGAATTCAGAATAGAAATCTGCAAAATAATAAATAAAAAAAACCTATATTGCCATTTGGAAAAATGTTGACTATCGCTTTTCAAAAAAAATATATATTAAATAAATGACGGAGTTATGGCTTGCGGCGTTTTTTAGAAGACAACCTGTATATAAAAATTAGGACACAGGTATAATAAAAATATTCAGTATGGCATATGTATGACTGTTAATTTATTTTACGCATTTGAGTTTAAATACGTACATTTCACTAACAGGAACTTCAGTCAGAAAAACACGACATTTTATTACCGTTTACTAGATTTGATTGTCTTTTGACTTTTTTATGCAGAGTTAAAGTTAAAACAGGTACAAAGTTATAAAATTCTAAACAAAATACTGTATGTTTTTCTCTTTTTCTCATTCGGTATTTCATCAGTCTATTTGATGTTTTTAAATTAGTCCAATAGGTACACTAGGTACATATAAAAACCTACAAACATATGGATATTTCGTATAAGAACCGACACAAAGCAGGAGCATGTAGGGGAACCCAAAATATGGTGATTTAACGCCACTTACCTTTATACTAAGCTGAACCCAGATAAGTTATAGGCCTTGAAAATGGGGTTTCAAATTTCTAAAAAAATCTATTTGTTATATTTAAACTTAGAAAAACCAAATTTGGTACAGAGTATGAGTGTACCAAGAGCATTAATCGACAGTAAGTAGAGTTCAATTGAAGCATTTTAAAGGGTTGATAAGGGATGATGTACCATTAAAATGTGACATAATTTTTTAACCTATTGACGGACTGCTCTGTGTCGGTTCTTATGCAAAACACCCTGTATATTGAGTGACCCGCAGGTTTGAAATTTAAATGGTATACGCTATATTTTTTTACTTATTTAAATTCAATAATTCGTTTTTACAACATACTGACCTCCATGCTTGAAAATATGTGATTGAAGTTCCTTGTCCTAAAAAAAATAGCATCAAGCCTTTGATGTCATGGTTTTTCTTGAAAAGCCAATTTTGAACAGTCCTTCCTAGACTACAAGGGCGAAGCAACCCATATTTCTTTTTGTCAATTTTTGTATTTATTATGCCGAGTATGGAACGATGAGGTTTTAGCATTTGCAATATCTTTCCCTTGCTTCACAACATTTTTCATTGTAATGTCAATTTCTTTTGCAACTCTTTCTTGCACTTTGCTTAAAGAAATTAATAAATCGCCTCTTCTGTAATATAATGCTCAGCGCGTTGTCTCGAATCGGTTCCGGATGTCATGTTGGATTTGCTCACTGATCTAAGATCGATAAGATTATTTACTGCCAAGTATATTCGTATATTAAGTGTTTCTGACATATTTGTAAGTGACACTAATTCCTTATTTTTTTTTAGCTGCTCTTTCCAAGGGTATTGGGAATGTACGCTATTAGCGGCACTGCATTTTTGATATACGCCACGAAAGTTCCAGAAAGATTTTCAGCTGGAAAGTTCGACTTCATTGGACACTCACATCAGTGGTGGCACTTTTTTGTTGTTGTAGCTCTATATTACTGGCACAACACGGGCCTGCTTTACATCGACTACCGGATGAATCATGGTTGTCCGAATACGATGAGGTTCCCGTAGACACTTTAAGAAAATTACCTACTCTAAGTGGTAATGGGTTTAAATTTGTTTTGTACCTCTAAAGACTAGTTAGGAATAGGGACAAGTCCGAAGGTTTGAAGGTATTTTATTTTTATGTTTTTTAATTATTTTTTTTAATATAAAATATTTTTGTTTTTCGAGACGTCAGATGTCAAAAAAATTGTAATTATTCAATCAAATTAATTGAGTTAACTACTTTTATAATGTTCAGGATAATAATAATATGTAAGATTATTGTAATCGTTAAAATGTTATCAAGGAAGAAACATGCAGGATATTTTACGATGATATACTGTCTATAATCAGAAAGTGTGACCCAAAAAGGCCACTAAAAAAAGATATATGTATAGATCCTGTGGAAATTATTTTGTGTATGTATACCCATTGGGGGTCAATAGACACTTGAAGTCAAAATTCCAGAATCGTATTGAGATTATTCGTATTATTTTGTGGCACCTTTAAAAAGTTCATGCTGTATATTTTTTCTGCTATTTCGTGTAGTATACTAATTATTGTAAGTCAGTGAGAAAAACCATGTAATTAATTTTTTTGTTACAGTTTGTTTACCTTTTGAATAATAAAAATCAGCAAACACAATTTTGAAATCAGCTATGTTGTTTTAGTAAGAAAAACAGATAAGCGCATATATTTTCATATTTCACAAGTATCACAACATCCTACTTTTACAGTTCCTAATGGGAATATCTTTATTCCTTGTCACATCTAAACAGTTTAAAGTAACACGCTTTCTTCTTACAACGCGAATAATACAATAATAATTATACTACAGATTTGCTGATCTTTCAGATAAAGAAATAACATTATGGGAAACCTAATAATTTAATCTAATTCAGAAACTAAAAATAAAGAAATAAAAAATATACATGGAGGACTTTTCCGATGTGATAAGTGGTTAGATGTTTTCCCATTAGCATCTAGAACTTTTTGGTTCTTTGTGTGACAAATTACAAAATATTTATTTAAAAAATGTGTCGTGGGAAATGCGAGCAAAAAATCAAATACATAGTTTTTATCAGTATACGTGTGTCTATTTTCAGTGTATTAAATAGTAAAAAAGTATATGGAGAACATATCCCATGTAAAACAAAACAACAACAAAAAAAAATAGGAAAATCCCCAATACAGTTCTGAAATGTACTCTGTTGGTCATCAGCGATATATGGTGTATGCTAAAAATAAATTAATTCTTACAAGTAGGTACCTATATCTCACAATGATCTATAGCCAAAGTAAGTTTTAGTCAACGTTCAAAAATCGCCCAGTATAGACACAGTAGCATTGTCGAACCATTCTACCTGACAGTCTTAATGGAACTATGAAATAATATCTCTCGCATAGTTTTAGTGTGCGTTTTATCAAAAAAAAATAAAAAATAGTTAATTGTTGTTATAATGTTTAGGAGTTTAGTTTTATTATATTTAAGATAACTGTGATACAGTATTACCTATTATTATTATATAGTGCCAATATGTTACTAATATATATGTTGTATTGTACACATATGCATATATGTAAAAAATATATATATTTATCATATATTCATATAACTATTTACCTTGAAATCCCTTCCTTAAGTTTACTTTTACTTAACAATGCACATAGAAATATAGACCTATTTTTTTTTCATTTAACAACAATAATAATAATAATGATAATAATTAATTAGTTAATAATAATTTCAAGGCGGCGCCTTGAAAGCTCTTTGGTTCTGTATATGTATCAATCATTTGTCAAATGCTCTTAATAATAAAGCATTAAACTATATAAAATAAACTGCTTAATATATATGGATGATATAAAAAAATATGCCTCCACACGAACACAATTGCAGGTATTGTAAAAACAACAAATTATATGGAAAGATATACGGATGGAGTTCGGAGGAAGTAAATGTACGATATTACATAATAGAAAAAGGAAAATGGAAATCCGAGGGAGCATTAGACAACGAAAGAGTGTCTGAAATGGAAAAACATGACAATCCGATTATGAAATAATTTATACAATAATAAACTGGCAAGCACTCAATATTGAATTATTCTAATAACTCCAAGATCTACAACAGTATAGAATCCTTTGAGAGATAAAAGTGGTTGAGTTTTAAGCGTGAACGAACAAATTTTACATTTGTCAATATTAGAACATGTTTTTCCAAACATCATTCGTCAACTAAATCTACACATTTCTGTAAGTTCAATAATTAATAGATTGTATCTCAAAAAGTTTTAAATCCTCCTCAGAATACAAATGGCTAGATTGTAGCCTTAAAGATACATCATTAATAAATAAAGATACACCATCATTAATAAATAAAATGAAATGTTTGAGGTATACCAGAAGTAGCTAAGAAAGTATTAGATTAAAACTATATTGTAAACATATGTGCAGTTGTGAAAGATATGATCGGAAGAGATTGAATAAGCCATCACTAAATATCAAATGATCTAGTTTATATAGTAATAATTCATTATTAACCCCATCGAAAAACTTTGTTGAAAGCATTTAATGTACTTTTTTTTCATTTTATTTTACTGATTTTTATACTTCTATTCTATAATCGAATAAATAAAGTAGGAAACATAATAATAACAAGAAAAAAGTGTTCCTAAGGAAGTTTATTTTTGAGATATGTACCTAATGTCATGTGAGGAAATTACTAATAATATACCTAATGTTAATTAAATATACCTACAATAGAAAAACAAATTTTCCTTTTAAGGCATTATTTTTTGGTATAAAACGGTTGAGGCACAATTTCGCCACGCTTAGAATATTTAACAGGATTGAAATTCAGGGTACAACTGTGGTCCTAAGGGCGGTTTTCCACTAAACGGACAAAACAAAAACAAAACACAAACTTGTGTCGAATAAAACAGAATTGTAATTTTTCGCAAACTTTTTGAAGACTGGCGTGTTTTGCGATAGTTGGAGTTTTGTTTTTCGGGTCCCGCTTCAAAAAGACGGTTTTCCACTAAAACAAAACACAAACTTGTGGCGAATAAAACATAACTGTATTTTTTCCCAAACTTTTTGAAGACTGGCGTGTTTTGCGACAGTTTGAGTTTTGTTTTTCGGGTTCCGCTCGAAAGCGGTCACATCAAAAGGTTTCGACGTGTTTTGAAACTCAAGTCTGTTTAGTGGAAACGGTCGTGTTGTGTTTTCTATTTAAGTAATCCAACCCAATATCTATGTTGGTGTTTTCTTCTTCCCAAAAATAATATTTTAATCATTAATGAATTATAGCTATTAAAAAATATATATGTGTACGGTTAAAGTGTTTACTTGGCTAGGATACAAAGTAACTAACTAACCAAGTAAACACTTTAACCGTACATATACCACGAAATCTATGGATGGATATCTGGGAAACCGCTCGACGGATTTTTTTGAAATTGTGATGGTGTGATACGGACCGTGGAGCCTACCAACCTAAAATATTTTCAAGGTCATCGTATTTCCGGTTATACCGGAAGTTGATACTAATTTTCTTATTTTAAATGGAACCCCCTGTATATTATTGCAAAAAAATTTGGGGTTTCTATTTAAAAATTTCGAGTTTTCCACATATTCTGAACTTCATATGCGATAAAAAAAATTTTGACCACCCTGTATAAAAACTGGAAAATTTTCATGTCAAATTCGATAAGGTAGGTCTTCCTTTACAAAATGTCTAATTTGCACAAAAAAACAAACCGGGAAAACTAAATTTTGCTGACAGTCTGCATCTGTCAATTTTTGTTTAAAAATCGAAATATCTCAGAAACGGTATGGAGTGTGCTATATGTTTTCAACTTAAAAATGGATGATGTTTCCAAAAATGCAATAATATACAGGGGGTTCCATTTAAAATAAGAAAGTTAGTATCGACTTCCCGTATAATCGGAAGTACGATGACCTTGAAAATATTTTAACTTGGTGGGCCCCACGGCCATCACACCATCACAATTTCAAAAAAATCCTTCCAGCGGTTTCCCAGACATCCATCGATGGAGTTCGAGGTGGGACACTGTAGACACTTACTTTTTTTTTCAAGGACTTCAATATAAACCTAAAACTAAGAATAAAAAAATTTTCTCTAAACATGTTGGTTGGTTATTGGAAAAATGTGTTCCGACTTCCTCGCGACAACCAGTGGAAAAGGACCGAAAACAAAAACAAAACTCGAACAAAATGTAGCCCGCTTGATGGAAACAAGAGTTTTTGTTTCAGTTTTATTTTTGTTTTTCAGGTTCTAGAAAACACAAACAGGACATAAACTCAACTATCCGTTTAGTGGAAAACCGCCATAACATGCCTGAGTCAAGAGCTATACCAATACATATTATACAAAAAGTACAATTATTTCTAGTTGTCCTATTTTTTACCATCTCGTGGTCCAGAAATGCATTACAACCAACACGCAAGATAACAGTTTCCTGGCTTTAACTTAAAGTTGTTTACGTTGCATTGGAAACTCTCTTCTAGATGGCGGTACCAGTACTCGTTATTGTATAAGACGAATTCATGTTCATAACTACATGTTTAGGGTTACCAAATGAAAATTCAGAAGTCCTTTGAAGAAGAAAATATATCGGTACTTTTGTTATATAAACTTGTTTTCGTTTCTCGCCAATTCTGAGATACAGGGCTGGATGTTAAAAAAAGTTTTTTCGTAATATCTTCTGAATAAGTGATCTTCACTTATTTGATTAATCACTTATTTGAAACGAACTTTTTTTTTGTATACCGTACATTAGTAAAGTGGCGTTCAACGTGAAAAATAAATCTCTGTTTAATCAGTAGCGTAGGTATAAGTTATGCTGGCTTACATTTTCTTGAAAAATTATGGTACGCCACTAAAAAAGAAAAATTTTCTTCTGACATCTTGAATACAGTTTGAAAAATCGTTTAAATAAATTCTGCACTTATGTAAACGTTTCAAATCGTGTATATGTACTAAAGCAGTATAAACTATGCAAAAAATGGAGGTATCATTTTTGTTCAAAATAAAATTTACTTTTTAAAACTGATAAGAAAATTAATGAAAAAACTAATTAACTCTACGCCACTGGTTTCAGTTTTTTTTCACCTATAATATCATTCTACAGAGCCTTCATAAATTTTTACAAGCCACGTGACCGTCGAGCTTAGGAAACCCAACATTGCACGATTAGTACTGTAAAGAAAATTCCGTAAATCTTGGCGTTACCAGTATTAATGACTCATTTACAATAAAGAATGATACACCGTTACGTCAATGCTCGAGATAATGCGATCGCTGATTAGTTGAATAGTATCTCGTAAAAAATTACACCAATCACAGCCAATGAAACATAATGTTGTCTTCTAATGTGATCTTGATCTTATTATTTTAAAAATTTTTAATTTTCCCTTAATTTAATTGCCAATATGAAGGAAATAAAATTAATATTCCAAACAAAATTACTGGTCACGTGGCTTGTAATCATTTATGAAGGCTTTGTTCATGTCCTTCTGCAGCGGGTGAGCTCCTCTTAGAAAAATACTGGGGGTACTTCATATAACGTTTTTCCAATTAATATTGCATTTCCGAGATACAAGGTGTTCAATCTATTACCTTGAAAATGGTATTTCTAATTGTCTTTAAATCGGCTAAAGACAGAAATGTCAAAATTTATTGACATATATATTGTACAAATAAATATCACTGTGTCGTGCAAATCATTTTATTCCCAATATCAGTGGCGTGGATACAGGTAATTTGAGGGATATAATTGAAAAAAATATATGTACTTCGTACATATTAAATTGAAAAAAAAAATATGTACGAAGTACATATATTTTTTTCAATTATATCCCAAGGATTTTGGAAACCTTAAAGGATAATACAAAGGAAAGGTTGAAAATTGATAAGATGTTCGTTTATCGAGAAAAACGAAGGTGAAGTCGTTGCTCTCATATAACAGCACAATTATAAAATGTTAACATGAAAAAGTGTTATGATAGTTTCATTATAATTCGAAAACAAATTTCAATAACAATTATTATATAATATTAATAATTTAATAATTTTGATTAGAAATTGAATTTAAAAAATAGGAGCTCATTTAAGAATACAGTCATTAATTTAATTCGCAATTACGTTAATCCGTTAATTATATTACTTCAACTACCCATATCCGCGTTAGTGCTATGTTTTTTACATTTAAAGTTAATAAAAAAAATTCCTTCCAAAGTAACAACTTCACATCCTGAATATCGATAACGGTACGTTAATAAGAAAGCGTTATATGAATTACCCCCCACTATTTTTCGAAGAGGGACTTACTCTCAGATTGTCAGATTTTTTGAAGTATAAACGGGGCATCATGTATACACAAAATTTCGTTTTATTTATTTATTCGTTTTATTTATTTTTAAGCAGATGTTTTTAAAAACTTTAACGTTCTATATGTAAAAAAAACGGTGAGGTTTCGAAAATAAATTTGTATAGCTGAGTAA